CAACTGCATGGTACGGTACGGCTCGGCTCACTTTGTGGCGCTTTTCAACTGCATGGTACGGTACGGTACGGCTCGGCTCACTTTGTGGCGCTTTTCAACTGCATGGTACGGCTCACTTCGGCTCGCTTTAAATAGTACCACCTCTGTTGAGGTTCCAAGCGTACCGTACCAATACTAAAATGTGACGTGAAAACCTTGCAGATCACTGATTGGTCAGACAGAATCGTCACTACCCGCTAGATTTAAATAGCCAGTAACAGCCACCGCTGTAGCCCCTTTTTTAAAACTACTTGCTTGACTTTCTTGAAGAAAAAAGAAAGAAAAAAAACTTTCAAAAAAGAAATGGCTGAATCGTGGTCTGTGGACGAAGTGCTGACGTTCCTCTCATTGGTTGCAGAGGAGCGGATAAACTATAGCGATCAGACTATAATCCCACCCACTTTGAAGCGGTACTAACTGCAGTGGAAAAGCAAACCGAGCTAAAGCGAACCGAGCCGTGCCGAGCCGAGTCGTACCACGCAGTGGAAAATGCGAAGCGAGCCGAACCGTGGTGCGCCGAGGCGAACCGTACTGAGCCGTACCATGCAGTGGAAAAACGCTATTAGTTCTAGAACCTAGCCACCAGTGTGGTTCCCCGAGAACTATTGGTACTCCTAGGAACGGTTTCCTGGTTGCATTCGCACCACCAGTAGGAACTCTGAAGTGACGTAAGCCACGCTTGTTTATTTATTTTGAAGACGCGGACCATTAGTTTGACAGTGCTCGGCGCTGAGAACACCAGAGAATGAACCACACAGTGCTTGCATTCTCCGTGTTCATTAGTTTACGATCTGTCTAACAGTCCTGTCTAATACTTTATCAGATAGAACTGGTAAACATAGAAAGTAGACAGTAATGAAAAGTTATTATTAGCGTATCCCGTGTGGTTGATGTCCAGTGTAGCTAGCTGAGCAGAAATACATAATCATGTTTGGCTTGTTCCCCTCAAAGTTGCGTTGGATTTTCTCTTCAGCGTAAAGTTAAGAGGGCCATCTATAGGGGCTTTCGCACCAGAGGAACCTTTTCATAGTTCCTAGAACTATTGGCAGAAGTACCCGGATTTTGGCGTGTTCGCACCGCAGGAACTAGGAACGATTTTAGTTCTAGGAACTCCTTTTGGAGGAACTAATTTAGCTCCTACTTCAGAGTAGGGTCTATCCCAGCACTATAGGTGTCACGGATGGAACAGGAGTCAGACAGGTGGTAAGTGAAATAGTGTTTATTTACAGTTTGCAGATCCAGACAGATAGCAGACGATATTCAGGATGGAACTTAGCTGAAGGATAACCAGAGTCTTTGTTTACAGATGCGGATGGAGAGTCACTGGGAACAGGCTGATGAATAGTGATGTGACATTTGAACCGAGGCGTTGGAGCTTGTGTCGAGAAAAAATGGGCGTGCCAGATGAAGCCGCGATTCGAGGCTTGTGTTGTTAACGTGAAAATCACGTGACTAATGACAAACGAGGCCTCAGTTTGTGTGAAAACGTCATCGGTTCAGTATGAGTGTCGCTTCCGGATAAAGGGGGTCCGAAACTCGCGCCACCTTCTGGGTGTTGCAGGAGTAGTTGTAGTGTCAGAGAGTCAGAGAGTTAGAGAAATCGGTAACACTTTACAATAAGGTTCATTAGTTAACATTAGTTAATGTATTAACTAACATGAACTAACCATGAGCAATCCATTTGTTAGTGTATTTGTTCATCTTTGTTAACGTTAGTTTAAAAAATAGAGCTGTTCATTGTTAGTTCATGTTAGTTCACAGTGCATTAAATAATGTTAACAAGATTTTAATAAAGTATTAGTAAATGTTGAAATTAACATTAACAAAGATTAATAAATGATGTATACATGTGGTTCATTGTTAGTTCATGTTAACTAACGTAGTTAACTAATGTTAACTAACAAACCTTTTGTAAAGTGTTACCGAGAAATCTCATTGGCATGGTTGTTATTGTGTCATATATGTGTTAGGGCTGGACCACATTACATTATATCAGGTTAGAATACTTATAGTATATTGTTATTAATAATTATAGTAGCTATATTAGTCTTGTTATATTAATTAGATAACATTATTTGGATTGCTTTGGATTTTTGGGACTGGACTGCTTTTTGTTTTGGATTGCCCTTTTGGATTTGCCAGCAAGAAAGAGGAGAAACTCCCCTGTCTGGGCTCAACAGAAGCATCAGTATCCTCATTTATACCAACTGGCACATTTTTATGTTTCCCTGCATCCTCTGTTCCTTGTGAAAGGATCTTTTCCAAGGCTGGAGAGGTTTTGTCCAAAAAGAGGAATCGTCTAAACCCCAACACACTTGAAACATTTTTTGTTTCTCAATAAAAATCTATTGAAATCCTTCCTTCTCCCAACCCAAAACTGCAGTGTTGCAGTTTGCTCCGCTATATATCCAGTCCCATAAGCACAACACTGCACTCAAACTAGTGACAGAACACACCAGAATCAATTCTTAACTTTTCCCACCCCAGACTATTCTGTGCAGTTTACTTTATTAAACTCCCTCCAAGCACTGCACTCAACACATTGTCATACTGTCACTATCCAAACAATTTATGAATAATTAATGAACTGTGTGTGTGTGTGTGTGTGTGTGACAGTTGTCTCTGCACAAGTAAATTCAGACAGAGAAAGATACATATATTTTATTTTATACCCAGGCAATGGACAAATGTCTGTTCATGTCTTTTTTATTATTGCAAATGAAAGGTTACAGACATTAACAGAAAATAAATCAATAAAACAGAAGGGGAGACGGGGAGGGGGTTACACGGACATCATAAGTCTGCTCAGGTCATTGGTTCAGAATTAATTAATTTGTCTGTTACTTCTTTGTACAGTAGCTAGGTGTCACTAGTGAGCAATGCTGAATGAAGCTTTGAGTAATGAACCTTTGGGTGAAGCAATGGGCTGCGAGGTCTCAGTGGTTCAGGAAGCCTAATTTTGCCATCACTACTGATGACCGGAGACTGGAGACTGAACTTCCGTGTGAACGTTAACAGGTGATCGATGGATGGATGGAACTCAGGTAGGTAGCGGGTAAGTTGCAGGTAGGTAGCGTGATAGTCTGTAGTGTCATGTAGAGACGAGACCAGACAATATTTCTCAGATTTCCTCCTCACTGAACCTTCCATTACACATTCAGAGAGTTTATAACTTCCACCTCAAATATAAAGTTATAATGGTAAATGGACTGCATTTATATAGCGCTTTCACAGACCCAATGGCCACCAAAGCGCTTTACAATTTGCCTCACATTCACCCATTCACTCACTCATTCATACACCGACGGGCGACGGCAGCCATGCAAGGCGCCATCCAGCTCGTCGGGAGCAGCTGGGGTTAGGTGTCTTGCTCATGGACACCTCGACACTTGGTCAGGTGGAACCGAGGATTGAACCACCAACCTTCCGGTTTGTAGACAACCCACATGAACCACTGAGCCCCATAATCAGGATACAAGGAAAAATAAAAGACATGAACAGATCAGTAACTCCCCAGGCAAAACCCATCATAACAGAACACTCTCCATAACACATGTCTGTTGTGTGTCAAAATATCTGCTATTAATTACACAGGCAGTGATATATCCTGAGGAGCAAACCCAGCTCAGACAGATGCTAATTAAAGTTTTAGTTGTGGTGATTTTACTGTAAAGGGTGACACATAACGGTCAGTTGCTATTAATACTAAATTACTGAGAAATGTTGAAATTAGCATTGCAATAAATATTGTCCGCAGAAGAGTCTCCAAAGTACCAACAAGCCTCATTTAGTCTGGGGGCCTCTATGGGCATAACAAGTCCAATAAGCAGGTCGGCCACAGCTAGAGAGAGAATAATCACTTGGGTTAATCCGGGGTCAGATGTGTCAAAACCGGACAACAGAGCTGCGCTCATTGTTTTCTCTGCAGCTAAGAGGGGCACCGGGCTCGAGGATGTCTCCGGAAGCAAAGACTGCAGGGAAATGGCCACTGCCAAAAGACGACCAGTGACTGAACCCCTTATGTCCCAAAGTCCTGACTGCAATATATGAGAGAAGAGCATATCGGTAATGTAATAGCTGCAGATGCATAATGGAACTAACTTTACACAGCGGTGACGTAATTTCAGATTCTTGTGTAATTGACCTAGTGATTCATTCATTAAAGGTGCAAAAACACACAACAGACTGATGCAACAGTTCATGCTGTTTACTAGGCCTACAGGGTCAGTGATCCTGCCAAAGTGTGTAAACTTCCAAAGCCAACTGGATAATTAATAAAGGAATTGATTCAAATAAAAAAAAAATGTTTTACATTAATGTTACCTTGTTTGGCTCATAAAATATGGACTGCAATAGATGATGTTTAGTAGTTTCAGTATGGTATTAATTAATTTGTATCACTTTTTATGAGACAACATAATGTACAAATTACATCAACTTACTTGAAAAGTTACGTTAAGATATTACATATTTTATTAGGCTCCACTGTTCATTATTTTGTGTTCTCTTTAAAATCATTTTGGGTGAATTTAAAGTTACTCTGTTTCAGATCTGTTATAAGCCATTTTAATCATTCACTTTGTGATGAACAACCATAATACATTTAACACTTACACATAGTTCAATATGACTGTCCTCTTTTTGACATTGTGTTTTTGATTTATGATGAAACAGATTTAAAATGACTGATGAAAGTTAAGCATAAAGTACATAATATCTACTTCTATCATTTATTTCAGTAGAGGTTCTTGCTCAATTTACGTAATAAGCTAATAAAACAACTGAATATTGTCACATTTTTTAAAATAAATTTGTTTAATTGTTATGCAAATGCATTAGTATGAGATACATGTGGTGTAAATTACAAAGATATAGTGTTTATCTACCTGTATGACTGCATGGCAATAATGCCGTTTACTGTATGTGAAATTGCTCTCAAAGTGATGGTTTTACCTATTTAATTACACTTGATGTTCTGTAAAAATACTGACCAGAGAGGATGCTGGCTGAAATATTTTCAGAGTTAAGATGTGTTTAACTGTCTTTTTAAACCAGGGGTAAAATAAAGCATAGACCAGTGGATTCAGACCTGAGTTTGTGTATAAGACCCATGTTAAAATATGTATGGTTGTGGAAGAGATTACTGATATAGAACAGATATAATATGGAATAAAGCACAGCAGATAAACTGTCACAATGATTCCTAATGTCAGAGCAGCTTTACTCTCAGATTTCCTCCTCACTGAACCTTCCATTACACATTTACCACCCTTCATCAGAGAGTTTATAACTTTCACTTGCTGACGTACTACATAAAAAATCCTCAAATATAAAATTATGATCAGGATACAAGGAAAAATAAAAGACATGAACAGATCAGTAACTCCCCAGGCAAAACCCATCATAACAGAACACTCTCCATAACACATGTCTGTGCTGTGTGCAGTGTCTAAATATCCTGTATTAATTACAAAGGCAGTAATATAAGCTGAGGAGCAAATCCAGCTCAGACAGATGCTTATTAAAGTTTTAGTTGTGGTTATTTTCTGTGGGTACTGTAAAGGGTGACACACAGCCACATAACGATCAACAGCAACTAAAACTAAATTACTGAAAGATGCTGAAAGAGGCACCTCAATAAATATTGAATAGAGTCCGCATAAAGTGTCTCCAAAGTACCAACATGTCTCAATCAGTCTGGTGGCCTCTATGGACATAACAAGTCCAATAAGCAGGTCGGCCACAGCCAGAGAGAGAATGATCAGGTTGGTTGGAGTGTGAAGCTTCTTGAAGTGCGAGATGGAGATGATCACCAGCAGGTTCAGAAACACAGTCCATGCTGAAAGCAATGATACAAACGCATGTATGATGTTGTATTCATATTTAGAGCGTTTCCCCTTGATACATGATGAGTTGATGGCAGGAAAGCAGTATTGAGTCTCATGATCTTCTGTCTCATAGGCCATGAGTGAGTCTCCTCCTGTTAGGAGTTTGTTCTGCTCTCCTTTCTGTCCTTTCATTTATACAGAGTCTGGATCAGACTGACCCACCCATCTGCCACCCACTTTGATGCTGCACAATGATATCATATAATTATTAATTTATTTAGCTACACAATAACCTGTTCTACAGTGCATTGCAATTTCTTGTACAATTTTGTACAAATTACACATTTAATTTTTTTTGCCAATTCAATTTGCAGATAATACAATTTGAAATGGAAAAAAATAGTAGCATTTTACTTTTGGTCTTAGGGTGTAATCACACCAGGAAAGTCCGATAGTTCACTTGCTTTGGTCCGGACCAAATACATTTTTTTTTTGGTAGGCCTACGGTTCGCTTTCACACTGCCCTTTTTGCAAGTGAACCAAAATTTGTAAACAAAACCACACGTGTGCTAAGGTCGTCCATTCATTGGACAAGGATTCTCAAGTAGGGAAATCAGGAAGTGCAAAAAAGGCTCAGTCAGCATGGAGATATTTCGTACTGCAATATTTGTTATTTTACTAATTTTGTGTTATTCTGTACAAACGCAATATGAAGAGACTGCGCAGAAGACGGATAAGGTATAAAGTTTTCATTCATAGAGAGGGGCTATGTTCACACATTCAAATAATGAGATTCTTATTGTATATACTGCTAACAAGTGCTGTTAACGCTTGCGATTAAGTTTGTCCAGTTTAACGCAGCATCATCCTTGTATTGTAACTATCGTTCACTACATTATATGAACTGCAAAAGCTTTTTTTGCATCTATGCGCGATTAGACTAAAGAGAACGCTCTGTATGTGAATGTCCTGATGCACACACTCATTCATTCATTCCATTCCAATGATGCACACACACGACGCGCAGAAAGACGCGCAACAGTATCGTGTGGCCAGACAGCGCGCCGGAATGGAATTCTCTTTCGCACTTGAACAACAATAACACAAACCATTATGCCAAAATCTCCGACTATGGAAGCCTGTTAACTCAAAGGCGCAGTGCTTTCTTGCAATTGGGTCGATTCATGTTCACACCGTAAACGAACCGTACCAGAGTGCGTTTGGAACCGTACCGAGACCACCTTTTCAGCTGGGTCTCGTTTCGGTTGTTTGGTCCGCACCCGAGTTCGATTGCTGTATTCACACCTTCCCAAAAGGTCCGCACCAAGGGGGAAACTAACTAGAGTTCGATTCAATCGAACCAAACAAGGCTGGTATGAATACACCCTTAGGGGGCTTTTACACTGGGCTCGTTTGCTGCGGTCCGAGCCCGAGCGCGTTTGTTCCCGGCGCCCCCCGCAGTGTTGGTCTGGTTTCACACACAACTTGATTCTATCGAACCCTGGTGCGTTTGCGTGCATATGACGTCATCGCAAACGTGCACGGCGCATTGGTCAATATTGTGTTTTTTTTAATTAATTCGCTGCTATTATTCACAGTTGAGTGAACACTACAGGTTTACTGTGCGTGTTCACTCAACTGCTGCTTGCAAACCGACTCTTTTGAGGAGACAGTGGATTTCCAACTTTGTTGCCCTGATTCCACGCGCAAAGCACGAATACACTGCACGCAGGCTCACTCTCGCTCGTATCCAAGGTAAATCATCAACACTATCTTCCCTTACAAGCGTTTTATTTAACTAAATACATCACAATAAGCTAAAAACGCATGCGCAGGTTACTTTACTTCCCGAACAAGTGCGCACCCGAGCCCGCGCTGCTTTCACAGTCACGCGAACCGCGGCACGGTTCGGGAGCAACCGAACTCAGACCACCTCTTCCAGGTAGTCTCGGGTTCGGTACCCCAGTGCGCACCCGGGTCCCATGACAGCGTTCACATTAGCGATTTTTCATGCGAACCGTGCCCCGTTCCGAACTAAACTGCCAGTGTGAAAGCCCCCTTAGACTTTTGGTTCATAATGTATTTTAGGGGGCTTTCACACTGAAATATCGTATGGTCTCTTTATCTGTATTCCTGAATAGAGAAACCAGTCCAAACCGATTAAAGACAGAAAACTGGGAAGGAGGGGTTTACGATGTCAAAGAAAACTGCATAAAATGTCATGTTTTGTGAAATCAAACCGGTCACTCTTTTCCAAACTAGGTTGCTGCTGCGGTACCTTTTCTCTTTATTACAATTTGCCTCTTGAAAGTTTCTTACACCTTTTGATGCTGTTTTTGTTAACCTCTGAAAATTGCTGTTACAGCACTCAAATTACATAAAGTCATTATCCAGAAATTAAAGGGGTCATATAATGGTACATGCACTTTTTCAAGTTGATTGTACTGAAATGTATGTTGGCAGTGCCTGTACACAACCATCATATAATGATTAAAAATCCATCCAGTGTTTTTGCTTTAATCTCCTTATATGTTTTTCCCTGTCTCAAATCGAGCCGTTCGACCGTGTGACGTCACACGGTCGGACGCCCCGGTCGAACGCCCCTCCCACGATTGTTGATTGACAGCAGCGTTTCAACACATTCCCGCCCTGAGCGAGCTGTCATCATAGTCCATCATTGTTGATACGCTGGAGCATAAAATTCATAAATCCGAACCGCTGAAGACACAGTGGCTGAGTTTTGTTTTCGAAGGAAATATTCCCCAAGAGCAACGTCAATGCTTTCATATTTGTGCGATTCGCAAATCTTTTCTCACCAGACTGCTTTATTAATGAGGATCAGCATAAAGCTGGTTTTGCTAAGAAGCTGCTCCTGAAAAAAGAATCGGTACCAACTATTCGTGTCCCTGCTGCACCTCCAGAAAAAGTGAGTGTAAAATTTTATTAACCTTTATATTAATCTTTGCAAATTGCTTGCACGCTTCACGATGAATGCGGCTAAGGTTTACACTCAGGGTACATTACGGCATGTTTTCTATGTAACGTTACGACGTTCTCAATATAATTCATAATCCCAAATTTATAATAAACAACATGTTGTGGTTATTGTGTTATTACAAACTGAGTACGTATACATAAGTAAACACATAGCGTTCGTACATCTCACTAAGTTACTCTAACGTTACCCTGCCAGTACATACAAAGATAGATCCAAGTGACATTATGTTAACCAACCATTCAGAAACGTCCTGTTCGAGCCTTAATTGTCGAACTTCTTTGCGGCCGTCGTCTTGTTCCGGGTCCGACTCCGGTTCAAACTGATACGGTTGCACAGATGTGTTTCCCAGAGACCCCCGCTGCCATTCTCTCGCCAAAATATACCCTCAACTGTTGTCAAGGCAACACTCCACGTGCGTTGTATCAAAACGCCCGCAGAACAGAGGGGCGGAGTGAGCAAAGCTCATTATCATTTAAAGGCATATGCACTGAAACGGCGTGCTGAAAACAGAGCTGTTTTTGACCAGGTAAAATGAGTGTTTTCTTACAATACTAATGATAATTTTTAATTAAAGTATATTACAAACTTTTCATTTAGACCCTAAAGAATCAAAATAACTTGTATGAAAATGGCATTATATGACCCCTTTAAACAACAATTTTAGAAATTTAGATATAAATATTCATAGTGGATATGCTGCTTTTGAACACTTTTCCTGTGGCATGCTACGTTTTAATGTTTTAATGACAGTGACACATGTACATGAAAATGTCTCTTTAAAATACATTGCAGAGCTCATGTTCTGAGAAAATATTTCTTGTGAGACCACTGATCGATGCGCACTTGACTGATATTATGGCAGACACTTCTGAATTTGTTCGGTGGTACCGTACGTAGAATGGTCCATTGGCTGGTTTGAATAGGTACAATGACAGTACAACCAACCACTGCTGCACAGAGGTGTGTTGTTGATGATGTTGAAGGAAATTGTAACATTTGCATTTTTTTTAAATGTTTTGTCAGACATTTGCACTGCAAAATATAAGTAGCCATAACAGTTTCCATTAAAACTATACAAACATCCTTAAATATATGCTTACCTTATAGGCAAAATTGGATCCATTTGATTTGTTTAAAACAATTAAAAATACAATTTGGCTAGTGAAAATGAATGAGAATAGCTCTTCTAAACAAAAATGTCATACAACTTTGCTTTTAAAGAAATTTTGATATATTTATTTTAAAACAAGACAAGAATACTGAATGATTTTAGCAATGTAATGTGACGGCACAAATGATTTTTACCTGATTTTAGATGATTTTATGCACAGTAAAACTAGGCATTGTAAGATCCATACATGGCTATTTCAGGGAAGGAGATGGGGTGGAGATACATGTACAGTATGCTCAATCTTTTGCTGACTGGGCTTTATAGAGGGAATTTTGTGCAGGTTCTGGCGTCCGCATGCTTTTATCTTAAAACTTTTGTGTATATGTATAATCTAGCTTTCATACACAAACTTTTAGGATGAAATCTACAGAAAGTTTTATACATGAGGCCCTAGGTCTGTGTTCCTTAAAACTAGGAAGGCTGAAGCATTCAGTGTTGTCATGTATTTGTTGGTGCGTTTTGTGTAGCCTCTTTGGTACTACTAGTTAGTTGTGATGTAAGGCACTATATGATGAATGATGTCAATCTGTCATTCAATGTGAATATGAATGATCTCAAAAATGTATGGGCCATCATTGAAAACTCATATTTCAATAGTAATTATGACTTTGCCACAAAGAAGATAAACAGTAGATAAACAGTCAAAATGATTCTTAGGGCCTGTTGTGGAAATTTTAATAGTCATTGATCCCTAACAGATATCATAAGAGAGAGAACCTATTCAATGTGTAAAATATATGTGTGTACGTGCTTGTGCGTGACGTTTCAGGAACATATGGGACAGAACGACTGACCTTAGGGACAGCCAGTTTCGGCCAGTTTATTTCAGTACCAGTTTGTGTCTTTAAGTAGAGACTGAACAGCAGTAAGGACCTTATCTGAGTGGGTGAAAGGTACAGCGGGTGAAGAGGAACCTTGAAAAGAGTATAAAGACTGTCTCATATCTTCCTGTTGGGTGTCACTCCTCGCACAGATTGAACTCCTGTGTGTTTGGGACTGAACCTATTCTTGCAAGAATAAATA